TCGAGTGTAGACTGGAGTAACTGCCTAAGATTGCATTGTTAGAGGCATTGGGTGAACAAAAGGATTACAGTGGGAAATGTTATGGCCAGTCGAGGACTCTCTAACGTTGCGTATTAAAGAATGAGGCGTTGATGTAATCATCAGTCTGGGTGCAAATGAGGACACCATGTCGGGCTGCCAGCTCTGGGCTGGGAAATAACCTGGAGGTTTGGGGGGTGGAGCCTGAGGAGGGCGGGGTTTGGGGAGGGGAGGGACTTCAGTGTCATTGAGTCCGCCTTCCAAAGCCGCCATTTTCTCCAGGCGAATTGATTTCTGTAGCCTGGAGGTTGTAATCTGAGACCTCCAGCCACCACCAGGAGGTTAAGAACAACCAAAACACAGCCGTGATAGAATTACTCAGTGTAACATTGTGAAGTCAATTATATTGTTTACCAAGCACACTCAGACAAACGTTTACATGCAAAGAGTAGAATAATGTTTTAAATAAATAAAGCACTTGTGCCAAATTTCAGTTCTAATTGTTTCCTTAGGGCCACATAGTTCTCTGATGTGCCCAGACCTTAGGTCATACTACCAAAAGAGAGAGAATTGGAATTTTAATTCCTGGTGGCAGCAGAAAAATACTAAGTTTATATGTACAGCGTGTTTAAGGTAAAACCGTTTCCCCTATAAGCAAGGATGTCACACACAGTCAGAACAGCCAGCCAGAACAGACAATGGACCCACAGTGACCCAGCCCAGTAGGTTCATATGTTAAATTGGGAAATGGGTGCTTGGGGGGTAGTAATTTCTGTTCCTCTGTAACTGGAGTGCTACATAGTAGGAATGTTGTGATAATGGGTACAATCAGGGTTGAAATTGATACGGAATGTTGTGATAATGGGTGCAATCGGGGTTGAAATTGATACTAAATTAATTTTTTACAGTGCTAAAGAAGCCTTGACCTGGCTTGCCCAGGAAAGCCCAATCTTGTCAGATCTTGGCTGCGAAGCAGGGCTGATCCTGTTAAGTATTTGGATGGGAGACCTCCAAAGAATACCAGGGCCAGGAGGCAGAGGCAGGCTATCAAGCCACTTCTCGGAATGTCCTCCATGCCCCATTAGGAGTCGCCAGAAGCTGCTATGACTTCCAGGCATGGGTGTGCATACACACACACGAATGCAAAAAATACACCACCACCCCACTAATGAAAAATTAAGGTTTTAGAGAGCAGAGCTCTTAAGGGAAGTTGGAAGGGAACACATGCAGAGCCAACATAGTGCAGTGCAGGGGTCTCCAACATAGTGCCTGTGGGCACCATGGAGGCCATCAACACCTTTCTTGCTGCCCACCGAGTATTTTTAGAAAGCTGGTGGGGCCAGGCGGGGCTCTTATGCAGTGCGGGGCTCTTCTGATGTGCCACCAAAGGTCTTACTGGCTCTGCAAATCAAAAGAACATTATTTCAGTGGCAGATGCTACCATAGTGTTTGTTTTATTCTCGTTTACCCCTCTTTCTCAGTACATTTTTTAAGTACCCCTCTTCTCCTTGGATTTGGGATTCCTCTGTTGGCTCTGTTTCCTGCAAGTAGGCATCTTGTGATTGGCTCCACCTTATGTAGCAGCAGCGGCCATTTTGCAGTTGCGCCTACCAGCCTGTGTCAGAATTCCAAAGGTGCCCACGGGCTGAAAAAGATTGGAGACCCCTGGTCTGGTGGTTAGAGTGCCAGACTAGGATTTGGAAAGCCCAAGTTCGAATCCCCACTCTGCTGGGTGACCTTGGGCTAGTCACTCTCTCTCCATCTAATCGACTTCAAAGGGTTGTTGTTATAAGGATAATATGGAGGAGGGAAAACTGATTTTGTAACGTGCTTTGGCTCCCCGCTGAGAAGAAAACTGGGGCATACCATCTTAATAACAGTGTAGAGTGATATACGGCAGTTTTACTTCCTCCGAAGAAAGAGGAAGAGGATGGAAGAGGATGGCTGTCCCATTTCCTATTTTATCTGCACAAAAACCTTGTGAGGCTGAAAGAGTTCAGTTGGCTTAAGGTCATCAAGCTGAGCTTCATGACTAAGCAGGGATATGAACCCTGGTCCTCCAGTCCTTCCCCGACCCCGACCTGTGCATGATTATTTAGGGATATTCTCCACTGAAGACAGCAGGACTCAGTTCAAAGAACTCAAGTTATAATTCTCATTATTCATTTATTTATCTATTATATGGCACAGTTACACACAGGAAGCATATAATAATATAAAATACAGAACCAAATTGATACAATGGAACTGGGCAGTCCCCCTAAATACTAATGTCTAGATTTTCAGTCCACTCAGTAACAGCTGAGGAGAGTTCAAAGAGCTCCGTCACATCTCCCTGGAAAGCACGACACTCACATTCCTGTGACGGATGGGAAATAATTTGGCAGGCTGCACCACAATCGCATTCGGGTCCTGGTATTTTGCCCCATTTCATCTGCCAGAGCCTGTACGTATTCTGTTAGCCATCTTCCATGCTTTACATGACAAGTCAAATCCTGTGGGCCTCTCGTTGGTGTTTATCAGGTTATGGATATCGGGTAGAACTGATCGCGATTCTAGCTCGCCTCCTTGTAGTGCACCCTGGATCAAGCTAAAGAGCTAGAACTTCTGGCTGCCAGACAGTAAGATCTCATGGCCTACACTACACAGATGGAAATTCTCAGGAGAAGACAGGAGAAAAAAAGAGGACACAGTTCAGGTCTAGGTGACATTGATACAAACTGCTTTCCCACTACCTCTGTTTATAAAGAGCATTGGGTGAGGAGTGGGGGGGTGAGGAAGGGATAGGGCTGCCAGGTTCCAGGTGGGGCCTGAAGAAATACACTTGACCTCCACATGACAGAGATCAATTCCACTGGAGAAAAGTGGCCGCTTTGGAGGGCCACCCATCCCTGCTGAGGTCTCTCCCTCTCCAAGCCTCACTTTCCTCAAGCTCCACCTCCCGGCTCTCCAGGAATTTCCCGACCCAGAGCTGGCAACCCTAGAACACCACAAAGACCTAGCTGATTAATAACAGAAAAGCTTTACAGAGCAATCCAATGCAGAGTTACTCCAGTCAAACCCGTAGGTTCAACGAGTGTAGACTGGAGTAACTGCCTTTGCATTGTTAGAGGCATTGGGTGAACAAAAGAATTACAGTGGGAAATGTTATGGCCAGTCGAGGCCTCTCTAACGTTGCGTATTAAAGAATGAGGCGTTGATGTAATCATCAGTCTGGGTGCAAATGAGGACACCATGTCGGGCTGCCAGCTCTGGGCTGGGAAATAACCTGGAGGTTTGGGGGGTGGAGCCTGAGGAGGGCGGGGTTTGGGGAGGGGAGGGACTTCAGTGTCATTGAGTCCGCCTTCCAAAGCCGCCATTTTCTCCAGGCGAATTGATTTCTGTAGCCTGGAGGTTGTAATCTGAGACCTCCAGCCACCACCAGGAGGTTAAGAACAACCAAAACACAGCCGTGATAGAATTACTCAGTGTAACATTGTGAGGTCAATTATATTGTTTACCAAGCACACTCAGACAAACGTTTACATGCAAAGAGTAGAATAATGTTTTAAATAAATAAAGCACTTGTGCCAAAATTCAGTTCTAATTGTTTCCTTATCAGTTTCTTCTGGTGTATGTTTAGTCCAAGCGTGGCAACTGTCAAGGCTTCCAGTGGGCCAGCTAAAGCCCCCCCCCCTCGTTTCTGTCCTTTCTCAAGGCAAACCTGGCAGTCACTGAAACATAAGAATACTTCTTAAAATCCACAGCAAGAGAAGAGAGAAACTCACCACTTTGAACACTATAACCTGCTTGTCACACTCAACACGACCAATCTTATCAAATTTGTTTGCGGCATTCTATCACACAGCTTCAGTCCATCTCAGTGTAAAGTTATTTGCTGCAGCTTGCAATACCTCTGTGTGGCCCTGTTCTTATCTACATATTTTAATGCTACTCCTCATTAATTACTTAGTGGTGGTGACTTTGTCTCATCTCTTTTAAAGAACCCAACACATAGAAATTAATACATGCTCATCAAACCATTTGCTACAGAAATCATTATACAGCCAACATCAAGGGGGAAACTATTTTTAAATACACTTTATAAATTGTAGGATATTTTATAAAATCATTCTTATTATAATATAAACTGGATTTATAAAGTTAATACACCACCTTGAGTTCTGTGATGGGGGGAAAACACGTGTAAAGCAAATAATAAATTCTAGACTTCCAGTTCAGGTAGTTTACTCTAACCCAGCACAGAGGTGAATCTTAGGACTAACAATCACATCTACCAGTTTGAATACCTTCACAGCAGTGTTCCCTCTAAGCTGAGTTACTGTGAGCTAGCTCACAGTCTTTTAGCCTCCAGCTCACACTTTTTTGTCTTAGCCCAGGAAGGAGGGCTCCAGAGCAAACTAATTTATGCAGAAGCCAAATCGCTCGCTCACAGCTTTAATGCCCAGTAGCTCACAAAGTAGAATTTTTGCTCACAGGACTCCACAGCTTAGAGGGAGCATTGCTTCACAGTAATATTTGCTAGCTAAGTCTTACAGAGTCGGCCTCAAGCTATGGTTATTCAGTGGCGTAAGGGGAGAAATAACCCACTTTGCTTATGTTCTTGTTACAACCTGACATGTGGTAAAGCATAAAAACAGACTCAGGCCTGGTGACCCTCAGACTCAGCTGGTTCTAGAGGTACCAACCTGCTCCTCCTGCTATTACATCTGATCTCCGAACAACCACAATCAGTCCCCCTGGAGAAAATGGCTGCTTTGGAGGGTGGACTCTATGGCATTATACCCTGCTGAGGCCCCTCCCCTCCCCAAACCCCGCCCTCCCCAGGCTCCACCCCCAAATCTCCAGGCATTTCCCAACCCAGACCTGGCATCCCTATCTACAACCGTAGGCCTTAGGGTGAGAACAGCTCTAATGCCAAATAACAGGATTCAGAAACCTTGGTCGTGGTGGTATCACACACAGTCCCCTAAGTTTCAAGGTCACAAGGTCATTTCTGGTCCAGGTGTCAGCAGCTGTACCTTGGTGGTCAGTTTTGTTTCCTTGGTTCTCAGATCCAAGGAGGAGGAGAAGGTATGGTTCTCCTTGTCCCGTTTTGGTTTTATGGAGAGATTTTCAGATGGGCTTAAAGGCAGAGCCACCGATACAACCTCCTCCCCTATCTTATGAGCAGAGGAACTGCAGTAAGAAGACATCCCTTTGGAGAGCTTCCAAAAGGTTTCCTGAATAGCTTTCCGGAACTCATTCCGCATCAGGCAGTAGAGGATGGGGTTGAGGCAGCTGCTCGCATGAGCCAGGCATGTTGTGAGCGGAAAGATGTAGTTGTGGAGAAAGAAGAAAGCTTTGTCGATGGGCAATAGATGGAATTTGACCAGAACCCCCCAGACAGTCGCCACGTGATTAGGAAACCAACAGATAAAGAAAGAGCTCACCACCAGCCGGATGGTGGTAGTGACTTGTTTCTGCCGTTTCGTATAGCTGCCGTTGAATTGGTAGGTCTTGAGGAGTCTTAGGAGAAGGACGTAGGAGGCTGAGATGATCCCCAATGGTATCAGAAAGGTGAACACCACCCGGTGGAGACGGTAGATGCCCAAGCCATATTCTGTGGGGAACCTGGAAAGGCACACTTTCACTCCAACAATATCCTGTACAGCCGTGAACATAACAGTGGGCACACTGGCCCCTAACGCCAAAGCCCAGAGAGCCACGGTGATCCATTTGGCCTGGTTAGGAGTCATGGCAGAACCAGCCTTCAGGGCAGACGCCAAAGTCCAGTAGCGCGCCACGCTCATGGCGGTGAGCAACGAGACGTTGGCGTAGATGCTGATGATGGTGAGAGAAGGGACCACCTTGCACATCACTTCGCCAAAGGGCCAAATGAAATCCAGGGCCGTCTCTGCAGCCCAGAAGGGGAGCGTCAACGAGAACTGGAAGTCGGCCACCGCTAAGCCAAAGATGAAAATATTAATGATGGGAGTGGATTTGCCCTTCTGGGACCCGATCAAGTACATGGCAAGCCCGTTCCCCAACAATCCCATCAGGCAGACCACAGAGTAGACAAAAGTGATGAATACCCGCAAACCAAACGACGCGTCCGATGATATGAAGACAGCTTCGTCAGAGCTTCCCCACAATAACTCATTCTGATGCATGGAACTGTTGGCGCCTTCGTATCCTTGAAACCCGCTCCCCATCTTTGACAAAGCAAAGGGGTCAGCTGAAAGGTGCAGCCACAACGGCCCTGGCAATGGTACGGCTCAAACGGGGAACATCTTGGGAGGAGGGTTATGACCGGGGAGGACGCTGACCACAAAGCTGCTGAACACCAATCACACTCTGAGTGCTTTGCTGCACAGGCCAAGTTCGAAAGGAACCGCCGATCCACTTTCCAATCAGCTAAGAAGAGTTTGCTCTTGTAAAAAGCGTACAAATGTTTGCTTTGCAAAAAAAAAATCCCAAGTTTCGTGAGGGCCCTTTCACCCCACCCAGTCTTGGCAGATGAAGACCACAAGCTGTTGGCTGGCTGGCTCCGTCAGCCTTTCCCCTAGGAACCGGTGGATTCTTTGGCCTCTCCGTGTCTCCATCGATCTTCAGCAACTGACTCTGTGTCCCGGCCCGTGCCTCCTCTCGTCTGCCTTTGAGAATGAGAGGAGCTTCCTGCAGACCAAACGTTCTAACCACTCCCGGTCTGAAGATCAAGGACGGCCCCCTCATTACGGTGGGGCAGGGCTGGGCTTCATATGTGTGTCCATGTGTGCGGGGTGTGTTATGTATAAAGTCCTGCTCCGTCTCTGTGCTGCGCCTTGAACACTTTGATGTGATTCTTATCTTTGACTGCAGTGCTGTGGTTTCTCTTTCAATCAAAGCCGGAGCAGAGACAGAGAGAACTTTGAGTCCGACCCTGGCCTGATGGAATAGAATTTGGTTGTTGCATTCTGGGAAGATGCTCTTGTTTCCCAAGAGGGTCTGCTAGTGCAGCTGACTTAAAGAGAGGTTGCTTCTCAAGGCTTAATTTGCATAGGGGTGTGTCCCTCCGTCTCAGATGGATAATCAAACTCATCCCTAGAATGTGTGAAATAATCATCCCTGAGGATGAGAGAGAATGCATCTGAGTTTGTGCAGTGTGCCTTTCTGTTGCCAAGGCACAATTTGGGTTTTAGAGAAGGAGGCTTCTGAAGAAGAAAGCATGATAATTTCAGGTAGGCTTCAACCCTAGCACCCCTTTATTTCAAGAGATTTTACCCTGCTGCTGTTTCTAGTGCTTCAGCACAGGAAAAATAGAGTACCCAGCTGTTTGCCAAGGCTTTTGTGCAGCTGCTGAAAAGGCAAGAAACTGGGAGTTGGATCATTTCCCAGTATGAATCTCCATGCTGGTGTTCTGCTTTCCAGCTTCCCTGAGCGGGGAGCAGTTTGGGGTTTGGTTTCCCGTGGATGGAAGAGAAGTGACACAATGAATTTGTGATTTTTGGTTAATTCACAAATGTGTAAACAGAGCGTATTGGAAGCAAGCGGGAACTCCTACAGCAGGCAGCTCAACTCTGATCCTGCATCAGGACCCCCTGAAGAGAGCAGTTGCGCCTCGAGGATTCTTCGGCCAACTAATGGCCCCCGCCTTTGCCCCTTTGTGGCTTTCCCAACTAGAGCTGCCCACCATCTTGAGAAAAAAACGGGTTCCCCCTTTAACAGAGGCTTAAGGGGACGCTATTTACCTCTATGCTGTGAAAAGCTTCAGCTACCCATTTTCACACATTACTCATCTATTAAAGAGACAGGACATTTCCCCCAGGCCTGTTGGCAACCCTACTTCCAAATGCAAAATGGACTTTCTCTCTCTCTCTTTTACATCCCTGCATAAACCCTGCAGAGCACTGGTTTCAGGGCCAAAGTCGGGATCCATCGTGGGATCATTCCTGCATTTCCTAAAAAGTTAATTGCAGGTTTGTGTGTGTGTGTGTGTTTCCCCTGATTTGGATTAGGACCTTGGTGTGTGGGTTGGGGGAAAGTAGTGCGTTAAGGCCCACTCGGTGCCTCTGTCTCAGTGCAGAGGATCTCTGCAGGGTTGCCACCTGCGAATCCTGGTCTTTTACAATATTCCCTGGTAGCCCAGTCTGCACGCATGTGACAGCTGCCTTTTGCTGGGTCAACTGACGGGTCCCTCTGCTCTTAGGATGCTTATTCTTTTGAGGAGGCCAGGGCCCGTCCCAGCACCCAGGACGTTTTGGCTGGGGATGCCCAGGATTAATCATGGGACCTTCTGTATCCCAGGTAGGTGCTATACACCATTGAGCCCTACCCCAGAAATCTGATTTGCTCCCACTCCAAACTCTGGGGCTTCTGTGCCCAGATCCAAAACTTTTGTTGGGGGAAAGTAGTGCGTTAAGCCCCACTCGGTGCCTCTGTCTCGGTGCAGAGGATCTCTGCAGGGCTGCCACCTGCGAATCCTGTTCTTTTACAATATTCCATGGTAGCCCAGTCTGCACGCATGTGACAGCTGCCTTTTGCTGGGTCAACTGATGGGTCCCTCTGCTCTTAGGATGCTTATTCTTTCGAGGAGACCAGGGCCCTTCCCAGCACCCAGGACGTTTTGGCTGGGGATGCCCAGGATTAATCATGGGACCTTCTGTATCCCAGGTAGGTGCTATACACCATTGAGCCCTACCCCAGAAATCTGATTTGCTCCCACTCCAAACTCTGGGGCTTCTGTGCCCAGATCCAAAACTTTTCCACGGTCAGAAAAATCAACACTGGCAGGCTGAGAATGAACAATAATAAAAACTGTCAATTAAAAAAAGAACTTGGTTTTTTTATCTTGCTATTTTTAATAGGTTTCAGTTGAGAGCCAGTTTGGTGTAGTGGTTAAGTGCACGGACTCTAATCTGGGAGAACCGGGTTTGATTCCCCACTCCTCCACTTGTACCTGCTGGATGACCTTCGGCAAGCCATCGTTCTGACAAGAGCCGTCCTTGAAAAAGAGGAGTTTCATCCATATAAAGATATCACGCATCACAAATCCACAACCAAAATATGTATACAAACACATCCAACTAATTTAGAATACTCTTTAAGAACAGCATGCAATATACACTACAGTCTGGTGTAGTGGTTAAGTGCGCGGACTCTAATCTGGGAGAACCAGGTTTGATTCCCCACTCCTCCACTTGCACCTGGCTGGATGGCCTTGGGCAAGCTGTAGCTCTGATAAGAGCTGTTCTTGAAAAAGAGCAGTTTCTGTCAAGAGCTCTCTCAGCCCCACCTACCTCACAGGGTGTCTGTTGTGGGAAGGGGAAGGGAGGGGTATAAATCCAATCTCTTCTCTTCTTATTATTGTCCCTTTTCTACAAAAAAAATACACAATTAAACGGATCCATCCGTGACTAATTCAATATTCCCAAGATTTTAAGAGTAGGTTTTTAAATACCCCACAACCACACACACATATTGGAATTTTGGCATGAGCAGCTGCTGCCCTCTACTGGCTTATGATGGTATTAGTAGAGAGTAGGGTCTACTGGTCAAGTCTTGGTCATTGACTGCCCCACAATCTTATGCCAGCCTTTTTAGCCAGGGGCTGAACTACTGGGAGACACAGATATGAGGCAGCCATTTTAGACAGCAGATTCTGAGTGCTGTTAAGGTTGGGAGACAGACAGATCTGACCCAAGAGGCGTGATCCTAGTGGGACGGCGGATGTTCTGTTGCATAAGCCTCAGTGAAATATTATTTATTTATTTATTACTTTGATTTTTACCCCACCCTCCCTGCCTCGGCAGGCTCAGGGCTGCTTACATACGAACCAATAGATAAAACAGCCGTATAAATATCAATATAAAATACATGATGAGATATTTTAAAAACCATTAGTGTATCGATGGCGATGCAGGTATGGTAAAGTGCATTTAGAAACATACATTCAACAGTACATCCACTCTCGGCGGGCTCAGACTGGCAGTAAAATCAGCACAGTGCAGCTGCTTACCTAAATACCTGACGGAAGACCTCCGGATAGAATGTACACGAATGCTCACAGAGGCTTGAGCCGAAGAACTTCTGTCTGTGTTGTGCCCCCAAGTTCATTAATGTCTGGAGCCAGCCTTGGTCTCATGCGAGCTCTTCTTCCTCCCTTCCAACTAGGGTTACTAACTGCCCAGAGGGGGGGAAATATCTTGTACCTTTAATAGACGCTTAATGGAATGTTACTTACCAAGTGATGTGATTTATCTCCCTGCCATGAAAACCTTCAGCCGCCTATTTACATACATGAGGCCTCTATTAAAGGGACAGGATATTTTTTTGGTCAGGCAACTCTACTTCCAGTGCTCTTTAATGAATTTGCAGGAAGGAAAACTTTTTTTTTTTTTTTGTCAAGTCACAGCTGACTTATGGCAATGCTGTGGAGGTTTCAAGACAAGAGATCTTCAGAGGTATGGTACCTCTGGTATGGTACCGAAAAGCAGAAGGGTTTCAATAGAGTGAGCTGCGCTATACCATACCATTGCCTGCCTGTTGGGATTCTTTTTGAGTAAGTCAGCAGAGTATTAAGAGACTGAGTCCATGGTGTGTTTTAAAATATAAAAGTTTACTATAAAACTAACATGGGAAAAGGTACACAGGATATGAAAATAACAAAGAGCTAATATGGCTACATCCTTACGGCTACAGGTAAAACGGGAAGAGAATGGTGTCTCCTTCTCAGTCAGAACAAAGAACGGGAGGAGAAGCCAATATGCTAAATACTTGACACATTGGTTTCCAATCAGACTAGCAAGTTAGCTCCAAAGTTCCCGGGCATTCTACTGTCTAAACAGATTGGTTACAAACAAACATGTGACTTAACAAACATCATTAACCCTGTAAATACTGAAGTGTTTTGACTTGTAACACCCAACACTGCCTCTGCATAGCAACATTGGTATTCCTTGGTGGTCTCCCATCTACATAATGACCAGGACCAACCCTACTTAGCTTCTGAGATCTGATGAGGCTGGGGTAGCCTGGGCCATCCAAGTCAGAGGAAACAGAAGAGCTTTAAAGGGGGTAGCTCATCCTCTAGGTGACATTTTTGAAAGCTAGAACGTTGTGGTGGTTGGTTGATTTTCTTCATTTGTTGTAGCCCACCTTTCTCACTGAAGACTTAAGGAGGAAAAGAGAGAAACAAATCCAATCAGATTGCCACAAGACATCCAGTTGCAATAGACTGCACAGGTGGTTCTCCTACTAAAGCACCCCATCTCTCAGAACTCTCTCAGCCCCACCTACCTCACAGGATACCTGTTGTGGGACTGGGGAGAGGAAGGCAAGGTGATTGTAAGTCCTTTTGAGACTCCTCAGGGTGGAGGAAAGTGGGGGATAAAAGCCTACTCTTCTTCTTCTAAGCCCTGGTGAGGCTTAGAGGTTGGGGTGGGGGGCTTAAAAGAACAAGCGCCAGTCCCAACATTCCACGCCTAAGGGAAGCAAGAGGAGCTTCTGTCTCAGCCCATGAGGTGTGGTCTTATATCTCAAAACCGTCCCCTGTGGGTTGAAAAGCAGGTGATGGGCTGGCTAGAGGCTAAGCAGTAAATAAGGGGCTGCATACTTCCCCCTCCCCAAAGCAGCTGCTGTTGGCGACAGGCCACAGACTGACGACTTTTCCCGCACGAGGTAAACTGCTGAAAGACTTGCCGCTGCTGGCTGAGCTGTGGCAGAAGGTCCTCTTCCCAGCTGTCTCCGGCAAATTCCGGCCAGGAGGTGGCGCTCGTCTCCAGGGCTGCGCGGGTGCCGCGATGCCTCCGAAAAGCAGAAGGGTTTCAATAGAGTGAGCGGCGCTATTCAGCCGCCCGAGAATCCTCTGCTTTCAATTGAAGCTGCCAACCTCCCTGGAGAAAAATGTCCTCCTGACTCGTTAATAGAGGCTTAATGTGTAGAAATGGGCAGTTGAAGCTTTTCATGGCACGGAGATAAATTTCTCTTTAGCCGTGGGTCCTATGACTTTAACAGTTGAGTGTTAGGCAGAAGTTCGGCAGGTGTGGCTTTTTCTTGCACAGATTCAGACATGGTGAGGCCCTGCCTGGTGAACTTGTGCCTGTCTAATAGTTACTACGGAGGCACAAATGGTTGTTTTTCTGCACCCTGCTCTCCTTTAACAATACCCTTCCAGTCAGAAATTTAGCAGGTGAAGTGTGTGGGGAGGGGGCCGCGGCGTGGCTCAGTGGTACAGCCCCTGTTTTAGGTCCCATGCTCCATCAAGGGCATCTCCATTTGAAAAGGATGAGGTCACACAGGTGATGTGGAAGGCTCTCCCTGGAGAGGGAAGGGCAGTGCCCCAGTGGTACAGCATCTGCTTGGCATACGGAAGGCCTTCGGCATCTCCAGCTAAAATCATTAGATAGTAGGTGATGTGAAAGACTTCCACCTGAGACCCTGGAGAGCCACTGCCTGTCTGAGCAGACAGTATTGAGCTTGATAGACCAAAAAGTGTGACTCAACAGAAGGCAACTTCATGTGTTAATTCCTCTATCATTTCATCTGCATGCAAGGTTTGGCCAGGGATTCTGGAGGGTTTTGTTTTGTTTGTTTGTCCCCTTCTGGGCATGGATCAGGGCTCACTGGGAGTGTGGAGGGGGAGGTATTTGTGAATTCCCTGCATTGTGCAGGGGGTTGGACTAGATGACCCTGGAGGCCCCTTCCAACGCAATGGTTCTATGATTCTAAGGGAAGACCAGCTCAGACAGATTTTTACGGAACTAGAGAACTGCCATACCAGAAAAGAGAAAAGGAAACTGGCAACCCTGTTTACTAGAATTTAGCCATGCTAGGATTTGGCCATGAAACGTGAAGAAAGAGCAAAACAAGCAGACAGTGCCTCTGAGCATATGCAGAACATACATAGTGGTGATTAGGACGCTGAGTTCTCTGGAAAGGGTGTGAGTTCTGAACAACGTTAAGTGGCACCTTTCTTTTACAAAGTTAGCCTGTCACAAAGGCCTGCTCTACCGATGCAGCCAAATGAGGTGGTAGAGTGCTGAGGTGGTAGAGTAGCCTGCACCACTGCAGATGGAAAAGGTATTTTTAAATGCTCCAACATATTAAAAATCCCCTGCATGTAGAAACCCAAGGCATCATGGAGAAATGTTCTGCTCTAGCTTTTTCCTTGGGGTGCTAGATCTCCGCTTACAGGGAGACTTATCCACAGGAGAGCATTCATAATATGTGATTTTTCCAGCAAATACTGTTCTGCTGTTGTGGGTCTAATCCTGCTGCATGCAGGCAACAAGCCTACGATTGGAGTGAGTGCAAGGACAATGGCAGCACTGGTGGGGTTGATGGCACATGAATAGAATATCACACATGCTTCAGTTTAACTAGGACAGCTCCTAATTTCTGGCCCCTGTCCCTGCTAAATTACTGTCTCCAGTTTTTGCCTTTGGGGGGATTCCTTGTTAAAACTTGATTTGTACAAAATTCCTAGCATAAGCTGCTAGTGTTCTTGCTCTTCAAGGTCCAGCCACCTCCCCAGGGTCCCTGGAAATTACCTTTGATGGGGGATGGATCCATCTTCTCTCTAGTGCTCCAGCAAGCCAGTACCTGTGCATGAATACTAAGGCACTATGCAGTGGACAGCCTGTCCTTTTACACCCCCAGGAGTTGCTAAGGAATGTTTTGACACTACCAGACTAGCCTGGTCTCATCAGATCTTGGAAGCCAAGCAGGGTCAGTCCTGGTTAATACTTGGATGGGAGACCACCATCCAATGAGAGGCAATTACTTTTTTAGCTACCAGTAATAGTGTTACAATTAATATTTTTTTTTGTATGTCGGGTTGTATGTCTAAGTCAGGCCAAACGTTAAACAGAATTGAGTGTATCGTAAAAGGAATTGTATGTCCAGTAATATAAGTTATTTGTTGTGCAATATCTTTCCAAAACTTAAGGACTATTGGGCAAAACCACCAACAATGAATGTATGTTCCTTCCCCTCCACATCCTTGCTTCTCATTGGAAGGCCTCCCAGCTACTTAAGGTCAAAGAGTGGTATACGTGTCTGTGGGACTATACAATTTTTGACAAAATAGCGGATGTTAAGAAGTCAAATGAGTATCCCGTGTCTGAGTCAAACTTCCTGAATAAGTGGTACCCGGTATTGGAGATACTTTTAAAGAATGTAGATTCCTCATATTCCTTTAGCAATCATCATCATTTCAAATTTATTTTGTTAATGTAACAATTAAGATTTGTATAAGGTAGTATCAAAGTCTGCCTTGTAGTACAGGTATTTCAATTCTGTTGTTGATGTTCTGTTACTAGAGCTAGTTTGGTGTAGTAGTTAAGTGCGTGGACTCTAATTTGGGAGAACTGGGTTTGATTCCCCACGCCTCCACTTGCAGCTGCTGGATGACCTTGGGCAAGCCACAGTTCTGTCAGAGCTGTTCTCTCATGGACAGTTCTGGAAAGAGCTCTCTCAGCCCCACCTACCTCACAGGGTGTCTGTTGTGGGGAGGGGGAAGAAAAGGAGTTTGTTAGCAGCTCTGAGACTCCAAGTGAAGGGTGGGGTATAAATCCAGTCTCTTCTTCTCTTAGTTGATGTTTGGTCACTGACTGAACATTTTTAAAAATTTAAAAAATGGATGGGAGACCAGCAAAATCAGTTCAGGGCTGCTACACAGAGGCAGGCAATGGCAAACCACCTGTCAGTGTCTCTTGGCTTGAAAACCTGACATCAGGGGTCCACAAGCTTTTTGAGACTGCGAGCACCTTTGGAATTCTGACAGTGGGCACAACCACAAAATGGCTGCCATTGTAGTTGGGGCCAATCACAAAGGGCCTGCTGCAGGAGGCAGAGCCAACCACAAAATATCAGGGATTGAGGATATGTATAACTCTAATGGGGCTGCGGTGGCTCAGAGGTTAAGATGCTGAGCTGTCAGACTGGAAGGTCTGTAGTTCAGCAGTTCGAGACCCTAGTGCCACGTGATGGAGTGAGCTCCCGTCCCTGGCCCCAGCTCCTGCCAACCTAGCAGTTCGAAAGCAAGAAACTGTAAGTAGATAAATAGGTACCGCTTCGGTGAGAAGGTAACAGCATTCCGTGTGCCTCGGCGTTTAACATGCCAGCCACATGACCACGGAAACATCTTCAGACAACGCTGGCTCTTTGGCTTGGAAACTGAGATGACCACCGCCCCCTAGAGTTGGATTCGACTGGCTTTCAAACAAGGGAAACCTTTGCCTTTATAACTCTAATAGTAACTCTTCAACATTTCAGGCAGAAGTTCTGTTTAACAGGATGCCTTTTAAATCTACACAGCCAATCAGAAGCCCTGCTGGGCAAAAGCACCTCCTAGCCCCACCCACTTCCCAAAAGCACTTGGCAGGTCCCATGGCGCCCACGGGCACAGTGTTGGAGACCCCTGCCCTCTGGGGTCACCAAAAGTTGGCTACGGCTTGACGGCACCTTCCACTGACGTAGGGCAGTGAAGTTTTCACCAATGCATCTTCTCCAGATTCACTCTCCTGGCTCTTAACATCAACAGGGCGCAGTACACTGGAGCATCAGGGACCAGCGCCCTTAGCGAGCTTTAGGGGAAGAGGGAAGGCCGTGGTGGTCTTACAGGCCATGTCTGTATTTCCACACTGAGGGGGAAATGATGGTGGAGGCTCTGCCTTCTGTGGCGTTAACTGTGTGGAAAAAAATAGCCCAGAGAGAGTTTCTAGGGAGGGGGCGGGTCAGAAACCTCCCTGCTTTGAAAGTCAGAAGACAAGGGTGATGAGCGATGTGATCTCGAGCAAGTCCAGACCTGGGCCAGGAGCTGGGAAACAGGTGTGCGGGAGGCTGGGAGGGAGGGACTTGGTGAAGGCCTGCAGGCCAGGAAGGGGCTCGCCTCTGAACACTCTCGGGAGGCCACTCCGCTTCTCAGGCTCTTGACAGCCAGCATGGCTTCTCCGGGGCCTCCGTGGATGTCTCCCTGCTGGGTTCCATTCTAATTCCCGTTGGATGCTTGTCCTGAGAGGAGCCCTTTTGCCCACGATGGTCTGCGTGTGGTTTATTGGATGGTGATCTTTGCTGACTGGAACGTGTGGGGACAGTGCTGTGGGCACCATGAAGAAGATGTTCTCTTGCTCCAGCAACCAAGTGGCGGTGAGTACCCACTGCTGAAAATTGGTTCAGATGTGCCACCCCCCCCCCCCGGCAAATCTTCTATCTGTGAGACAGGTGCCGGTGACTGCCGAAAAAGTTGGCAGGTGAACAGCAGAGTGTATTCCACAGCCACACCTGCAATGGGAGAGAATTTGGCATACTGACAAAGCCGAACTTTCACTGTATTAGAGAAGCAGGCTTCTAGCCCTTCTGATAAGCTTCAAAGGATGTGGGCAATTCTTGATGAAACCGGGAAGAGCCAAGGAGGATTTTCAAATATCTTGGTGTGTGTGTGTGTGTGTGTGTGTGTGTGTGAGAGAGAGAGAGAGAGAGTACTCTATATAGCTCTGTTCTACCTCCACGATCCCCCCCCCTCAAGTATTGTGGGCAGAATGATTTATGGAGAGCTGTTCAATCTATGTATACAGTATTGCGGAGTGTAATTCTGATCCATTTTTTCAGGCTATTTACATATAAATGAGGCAGTGGGATTTGGGGATGTATAGCAGGTATTCTGCCTTTATATTAAAAAGGATTTTTGAAATTCTCCACCGTTCAAATCCAAGAATTTACCTGAGTTGTAGTTCTCTGGTACCCTTTGCAGTGTCTGTTTTCAGGACCAGTGCCTAAAATGCTAGACATGTGATAAAACTGTGACTCTGAGCATATGCAGAGTATCCATCCCTCATCACTGCTACTAACCCTGAGGAGAATTAGATAAGGATCTTCTAGGCTAGAGAACATGGCCTATGAGACACCTCTTTTGATATAGGCTTCACCGCCCCCGCCCCCAACAGCATCCCTTTCTCATTGCAGAGAGAGGGAGAGAAAACCCATCTTCCCAGAAAATGGGGTTCAGCACCCCATGAGAGAACATTTCTGAAAAATTTATCTTTATTTTGGAATAAGCCTGCTCCATTTTCAAGCTGTCTGATGACCCAGATTTGAGTTTTCTGTAAGACATTAAATTGCCAAACTGTGAATCGGGAAAAACAGGTGTTTGGATTAGGAGAGATATCGAATTGAGAGAATAATCCGCACCTTTCTGGGGTCATCGGGGCGGGACAGAGAGGATTTCCTGCGCACATTAGACAAGCCGAATGGAACCTGCCTCCTCCATTAATTACAGGGCCCAATCCACTGCCATGCGCTTGCTCAGCTCCCCTTCATTGTGTTGTGGCTCCAGGCGGTCACTTCCCCTCAACACCACTGTCCTTATGCAGGGTTTACGCCCGTCTGAGCCCACTGAAATCAGTAGGCTTAACTTGAGTAACTTGGCATACAATTGCTCTGTGATTCACATCAGCAGATTCTGTACTGGAGGTGGTTGCTGTTGAATGTGGGATTGCCACTTTTAAAAAACAACAACAACAACAACTGGTCCCTCTAGCTGTTACTCTTAGTTTGATTGGTAGCAGTTATCAGGTGGTGTTATTTAGCTGTGCCGTGAAAAGATTCATTTGCCAGGGCTCTTTTTGGACAGGAACGCACAGGAACGGAGTTCCGGCTGGCTTCAGAGTTGGCCACGCCCACTACAGCCAAAACCTCTGTGTGTGCCTGGCTACAGAGGGAAGGCCTGGAGCTTGGGGATGGTGCATTCTGGGAAGGGGGAGGAGCTTAGTGAGGTAGAATGCCACCGGGGTTCACTCTCCAGAGCAGCTACTTTCTCCAGGGGGCTGATCTCTGTGTCTGGAGAGAAGTGGTCATTCCAGGAGAACTCCACCTGGAGAATGGCCACCCTAGGGCCTTGTGCCTGCTTAGACACTTAGACAAAGGGTTGCCAACTCTGGGTTCGGGGATTCCTGGATATTTGGAGGCGGAGCCTTGGAAGGGTGGGGTTTGGGGGAGGAAGGGGCCTCTGCTGGATATAATGTCATAGAGTCCACCTTCCAAGCAGCTGTTTTCTTCCAGGGGAACTAGTCTTTGTCACTTGGAGATGAGTTCTAATTCCAGGAGATCTCCAGCACTGCCTGGAGGTTGGCAACCTGACTTTGTCAGTCCATGCCTGCTGCGTGGGAAGCCCATTTGAGACTTGGATGAGACCTCAGTGGGATCTGTACACAGTCAGAGACACTGTTCCTTGTGTCGTCGTTTTTAGGCCAGAGTTCGGATTGCCGTGTCCCCCCTGGCCACCAATGGGGGTAGAGTTGCTAGATCCAGGTTGGGAAACTCCTGGAGATTTGGGAATGGAGCCTGGGGAGGCCAGGGACCTCAGTGGGGTACAATGCCATAGGGCCCACCCTCCAAAGCATCCGTTTTCTCCAGGGGAAGTTATCTCTGTACCTGGAGGCTGGCATCCCTAGCCAGAGTCCTTGTGCTGACGGAAGGTTCAGGGGGGTGGGGGCTAAGCTAGGGTTGCCAACTTTTAAACTGGCCCCTCTAGCTGTTCCTTAAATACCAGTTTGATCTGCAGCAGTTATCGGATTATTTTATTTAGCTCCATGCCATGGAAAACACAAATTGCTCGTTTCTATGTATTGAACCTCTATTGAAAGGGACAGGACATCCCCCCCCCCATCCATTTGGCAACAGTAGACTAAATCGTAGCCCAGGAGAGGCCTTGAAACTTGACTCCATCAACTGCAAGACCGTTGCCAATCTGAAGCCTGGCTAGAAATTCCTTTCTCTGTATCGGGCTCCTGTCATTCTTCACTCTTGCTCCCTGGCCAGTTGGCAACCTTGGTTATATGCCATCCAATGACAGCAATGGGTGGGCATGGACAATCAATTGTATCTCCATGGCCATGAGATCTAGAAACTTGATAGTGGCTTTTTAAAGGAAAGGGCTAACTGAGAAGTTATAAAATCCTCAAAGTCCCCCAAGGGACTGCCAGGGGTCTTGTCAACCCAGATGTGTTCAGGGAGCCCCATGTTTGGAACTTAATTCCCCCACTGGTCTGGTTCCCTGGGTTTAATCCCCCCCCCCTCCAGCACCATTTTTCTGACCTGAAGTGTCAATGGGAGCCAGTCTTTGCCCTATTGGGGAAACGTGTGTGCACTAATGGGCTACTCATAAGTTCTCACAGAGGGACAAATAGCCACTTTGGAGGCTGTTTCAGTATAAGAAAACAGCGAAGGGGGGGAGGCTTAATTCCCTCCTTTCCACCCGCCATGGTCCTGATCCAAATGTGGCCCATGCATGGCTGGGAATTAAGTTCAAGCACAGAACTCCCAGAACTCATCTGTCAGCAGGACACCTGGGGGACCTGAGGACTTTGTATCATGTGAATCAGCACTGCTGATTTCTTAAGCCTCCTCAGATCAGGAAGGGAATTCCCAAACGCAGGCAGGTGAAGCAGGGTTTTTATTTTTTATGGATTTCTATTCCGGCTTTCCCCTGGAGCATGTGACTTGTCAGTCTGTGGGAAAATGCTGAGAAGAGCAATGGATACAGAAATTAGGCAACTCTATGATCTGCTAGATAAACTGATTCTGAATTTTTTGGACACCACCACAGCATCATGATTAACTGTAATTGCTCAGGCTAACTGGTCTAATTGTTTTACTTGAATATTATTAGCGGGGAAAAGACATATGTAACCTTGGCTGTTGGATGGGATAACACTGCGAAACAAATCTTTTAAAAGAATTCAATTCCCCAATTAGGGTTGCCAGCTTTTTGACTGGCCCCCGCGTCTGTGCTTTGAACCACAGCTTTCTCTGCATTCATTGGTGGGTCTGGTTGTCAATTCTGGGTTGGGGAAATTCCTGCAGATTTGGGGGTGGAGCTTGGGGATGGTGCATTCTGGGAAGGGGAGGGAACTTAGTGAGGTAGAATACCACCGGAGTTAACTCTCCAGAGCAGCTACTTTCTCCAGGGGGCCGACCTCTGTGTCTGGAGAGAAGTTGTCATTCCAGGAGAACTCCACCTGGAGAATGGCCACCCTAGGGCCTTGTGCCTGCTTAGACACTTAGACAAAGGGTTGCCAACTCTGGGTTCGGGGATTCCTGGATATTTGGAGGCGGAGCCTTGGAAGGGTGGGGTTTGGGGGAGGAAGGGGCCTCTGCTGGATATAATGTCATAGAGTCCACCTTCCAAGCAGCTGTTTTCTTTCAGGGGAACTAGTCTTTGTCACTTGGAGATGAGTTATAATTCCAGGAGATCTCCAGCACTGCCTGGAGGTTGGCAACCTGACTTTGTCAGTCCATGCCTGCTGTGTGGGAAGCCCATTTGAGTCTTGGATGAGACCTCAGTGGGATCTGTACACAGTCAGAGACACTGTTCCTTGTGTCGTCGTTTTTAGGCCAGAGTTCGGATTGCCGTGTCCCCCCTGGCCACCAATGGGGGTAGAGTTGCTAGATCCAGGTTGGGAAACTCCTGGAGATTTGGGAATGGAGCCTGGGGAGGCCAGGGACCTCAGTGGGGTACAATGCCATAGGGTCCACCCTCCAAAGCATCCATTTTCTCCAGGGGAAGTTCTCTCTGTACCTGGAGGCTGGCATCCCTAGCCAGAGTCCTTGTGCTGACGGAAGGTTCAGGGGGGTGGGGGCTAAGCTAGGGTTGCCAACTTTTAAACTGGCCCCTCTAGCTGTTCCTTAAATACCAGTTTGATCTGCAGCAGTTATCGGATTATTTTATTTAGCTCCATGCCATGGAAAACACAAATTGCTCGTTTCTATGTATTGAACCTCTATTGAAAGGGACAGGACATCCCCCCCCCCATCCATTTGGCAACAGTAGACTAAATCGTAGCCCAGGAGAGGCCTTGAAACTTGACTCCATCAACTGCAAGACCGTTGCCAATCTGAAGCCTGGCTAGAAATTCCTTTCTCTGTATCGGGCTCCTGTCATTCTTCACTCTTGCTACGCCCTGCCCTCGGGTTATTCCAGCCTTGGGGACTATATTTTGCATGAAATCGGCGCCGCGTGAGGCCATGTCTGAGCCTGATAAACAGGCCTGGTTTATCTGGGCCTTTTACACAGCGGGTGATGTTACCTCCCCGGGGTGTTCCCGCCCTTGCATGTTAGGGATTTCTTTTTGAGGGCCTTGAGGTGGTCA